GATGCTGGTACTAATAGTTTAATAGATTTCAGTCCTCAGTACTAAAAGAGAAGCCCTCCATTCTTGATTGTGCATTAAAATTTTGATGGTGTACATCCTTCAACCTCAAACTGTGATAGTGACCCTGACACTTTAAAAAGCTGCAGCTTGCAAAAAACTGCTGTGATAGTGACATTGACAATTTAAAAAAAAAATGCGGCTTGCCACCTCCAATTGTAATTGCTAGAGAGGGTAAAGCCTTCCTTGAACACATATACTTTTGACTTCCCCCTTAATATGTTCAAATATATTTTCCCCCAAACTTTGATAACGGCTCTAAGCGTACGGATATTAGATATTGTCTTCAAATCAAAACTTCACTACCCCTCTAGTATTTTCAAATAACACCATGGGCTTGCTCCCTTAATTCAGAGAACCACATTTTAGTATAATACATTCTACAATAAAAATCTTTTTAGATAGCACATGGTAAAAGATACAACATGTATAACACTAAATATGTATGGAACCATGTCAATGTTTAATCCTTATAATACTCAAACAAACATTTGTTATAATTTCTTCCGATCTCAAATCTATTATCACACATCTATATCACAGAGTGAAATATACAAAGTGTATACAAAGGTTAAAAAGAAGATTCAACAACATGGTCTATCAAAGTGTAAATCAAGGAACACATTCTAGCTGACTAATTCAATCACATTCAAGTAGATAATAAACATGATAAAAATCATATAAATAGATACACAAAAATGTTTGTTTTAATGACATAAATAATTCATCTTCTACAAGTTGACACACAAGTGTTAAACACATGGCACGCTCTTTGCGAGGCATCGGATTTAACGTCCCCATTCTGACCAAACGAAGCTGCGTATTTATACACCCAACACAGCCATGCTGACGCCCTGGATGCCCTTATAAAAAAAATATCTGTCCATCTTTCTTTTATAAATTTTCTCTATTCTCTACAGAACCTAGGACTTTATGTCTTATTAACTTGTTATGTGTGCATTTTTTTCAGATTTGTAAGGAAATTGGACTTCGATCTTTACTTTTGTATAACGTAGAAGTACATTTCTAATTCCATTCGAAATAGGGAAAAGCCCTGTTTTATTTAAGGTAGCACGCTCTAAAGATGATGTGATTGTGACATCACCAAGCACATATAGTCAAAATGATAGCCTAAGTTAATCCTTTGCAGATCGAGACGTCTTCGGGACAGGTCATGCGTATACACATTGTGATAACGGATTAAATTTGTTTTACAGGTAAATTGATGTTTGATCATTGATTAAGAAAAAAGTAAAATAACAAAAATACCGAACTCCAAGGAAAATTCAAATTTGGAAAGTCTATTATCAAATGACAAAATCAAAAGCTCAAACACACCAAACGATGTTATTAGAGTGTTAGTGCAATGCATGCCTTTATGAAATTTTACAGTGTGTAGTTTGACGAGACGTTTATCGATTAATTTCAGAAAAATACATGCATTGGAACAGATTTTTGCAGGATGGATTTCTATTTCAGACGTGTGTACATGTATCGGATTCCACTTTAACAGTAAAATTAACAGGACATAGGGCGATTTTTAATTCAGTAGAATTGTATTCCCTCAACAACAACAAAATCAGTGGGGGAGGGATGACCGGGAACTTGGTTGGCATATTCATACTGATAGCTGCATTGTTTGAAGTAATGATTAGTAATTTGTTGATTTGACTATCTCAGCGATATTGACCCCTCAATAAAATGACGCATACCACTTTGACAAAATATTTCCAGTTGCGACATAAGAGACTAATAGTTTGGTTACATTTTGTTGTCGATATCTATAACTCATTCTGAGTAGAAGCCAAATTGAGTAAATGTCAAAATTTAGAACATGGGTGTGACCTTTAACCTTGACCTCATTTTCTTTCTAGTGGACCCAGAACCTCAAAGAAAAAAAGCCCAGGTCTGAATCAATTATGATTTACCAGCTAAAAATCATATCACTTATATCAAATACATAAGGGGAAATAACTCTTCTATGGATTCTCCGGATCCCTTCGATCAAACTTTTATTTGACAACCTGAGGCATGGGGATGTAACGAGCAATTTGGTCCCATAATTTTGTCAGTTTCTTTGAGAGTTGCGAGGGAGTAGAAATCACAGGGAAAACAGTGTTTTGGGGGATAAATCTTACAACGAAAAGTGTTCCGTTAAAAGGTGTCAGTTTCCAAAGTCTATAAAATGTTCGATATCATATACAAAACCAAAATCTTGCTAAATGACAGGAGCGGAGGATAAAAGATAATCAGAACAAAAGTAAAAGGTCTTTCCACGGAAAAATGGAAAGACCTAGTAAATGAAAATAATAATAAACAAACGAAATACAGAAAGGTATTTCAGTAAGGAAGACAGATCTTAAAAAAAAAACTAAATACAATAGGGGGTTTCCATTAGGAATGAGAGCCCTTAATTAGAGAATAATTGAATGTCTTTCCTATTTAAATTTCCGAATGATTGATATGAAGCTACTTCTGGTTTTTCGTAAAGTTACTAATGACATCAAATCATAGGTTCATCAATATGAGTATTAGAAATATATGGTTTATCTATACTTTTATCTGAAACAAGGGAGATCATTTTTTTACTTCTTGTTTAGAATATATCACTTCTGGCGTCGTATGATAGCTTTATTCACACTGATTCCAAAGATGTATGGTTTCTATATACTTTTGTCTGTAGTAAGGTAGATAATTTTTTACTTCCGGTTTTTAGAAGGTCACGTCCGGTATCAAATGAAAGTTGTCTTTACACTAATTTAAAAAAATATATGTTTTCAAAAGACTTTTGCCTAAAAAAAATGGCGATAATTATTTACTTCCGGTTTATCGAAGATCGCATCTGGTCTCAAATGATAGGTTAATGTATGCCTATTAAACAAATATATGATTTCTACAATGTAGGTCCTTTTTCATATAAAAAGTACCAAAATGGCTACTTCCGGTATACTTTTGACATTTTCAAGGTAATCTGTAACCCGTCATTTTGCTATAGATCTTATGGCGTTATCATGTACCTAGTTGAAGTAATAATAGTTCTTTTATATATTTATCGTTAAAAATGTCAGAGAAGATCATAAAGGAAGCAAAAGTCAAAATTAAGAACATGATCTTGACCTTTGACCTTGACATCATTTTCTAAGTTACGACCCAAGGCCCTCAAATAAAAACACTCTAGGTTAATACGACTTACGATTTATGAGAATAAAAAAAATAGCGACGAATGTAATTGCTAACGGTAGATAACTCCTATAAAATGTCACTGGATCGGTTAGATCGAAACCAGACAAATTTTCTAAGGATGAAACAAACAATTAAAAAAATGAATAAAAGATAAGAATTATGTCCCTTGGTAATGGAGATGTGGTTTTTTTTTAAGCCCGGGAAAAATTAGAAAAGTTGTTATTATTTACTTGTTCTGGACTCATATCTTCAGGATTCTATCGTCAGGAAGTTTTTTGCCATTGATTCTACAGAAGTTTGTGACATTTGAGTAGTATTTGGTATAAACCTGACTTGTTTACATGCATTCCTGAAATCTACTCACAACTCTATACAAAATGTCCCTTACCAGAAGAGACTTGTCCATACAGTTTAGTACAAAATATTTCCGAGGGACAACCTACGATAATATTTTAGGGGAATATACAGAAAATTACAAGTCTAGATGATGTGAAATCTATTCAATTTACGGAAACTAACTGCATAGTATCTGTACAAGATTTTGAATCTAGGGAAAATTTGTTAACTAGTGAAATAACATTAAAGAACAGGTCAGTTTCATTTTATGATGTTGAGGAAAATATTACAAATGTCACTGTAAAAGACTTACCATACGAACTAGATAATTGCTTTTTTTGCAACCCAGATGCTTCGTTTCGGAAATGTTATTCCATCATCTGTTCAAAGAGGGTATATCAAAGGTACGACCCTGAAAATGGGACCAGGTACATACAAATATTAAACTGTCAGCCCACATTACCGAACAGAACAAAATTAGGTCGTTTTGATGTACGACTCTTTGCAGACAGTCATCGTACAGAATGTAAATACTGCAAATCTTCTAATCACGTTCACCTGTCCTCAAAATCCCGAGCTACAACAGGAGCAAAAACAATGCTATAATTCCACACAGAAAGGTCACATTGCTAGGGATTGCAAAAATCAGCCAACATGCAGTTTTTGCAAACAGGATGGTCACAATCGAACAAAATGTGAAAATTTTGCTTCTGAAAAGGCAAAACATGACTTTGGTTCCTATGCATCCGAAATATTAGAAGGTCGTCAATTGATGCAGAATGAGCAAAACAAAACATGTGAAACGTCCATTGAGACAACAAACAAAACTTTACCTTCGCTTAATGAAAATGAAATAGTTGCTGAAACTAGTATCAAACCATCTCACACAATGCATCCTACACATAAACCATCTGAACATCTAAAAGACAACGTAAACCTCATCATCGGTGCATCAAATGCAAAACATCTTGGTGACTTTCAGCAAAATGTTGTCAATGCGTCAATCTCCGGAGCCACTCTGGACGATATAGACATGTGTAATAATTTAGGTCGTAAGAAAATTAACCCATCAGTCACTCACATAAAAATTGCACTGTGTTTAGGGACAAATGACATAACAAAAAACAGAGATGAAAGTAGTTAGATGATTGTCATGTACACTAAAGCAATAGCGAAAGTCAAAGAGACTCTCCCCAAGACACATATGGGTATCTGCAGTGTTTTGCCCCGCAAAGGCAAAGGTCACAACATCACAAAGCTAAACGAGACAACGAACTTAGTTAATACATTCATTAAAAAACTCTGTTCAAAAGACGAGGAACTAGACTACATTAGTATTGCCAGTGAGTTTTGTAAAGCGGGTATTGCTGTACGATCATTATTCGACACAAGTGACGTAAGTGGTGTCCATATAAGTCCAGAAGGAAAAGACAAAATGTTTGCTTTATTAGCAAATTTCTTTACTAAGTCACACACACCAACATCTGTCCTTGAAACCCCTGTCATAAAATGGATGGAATGTACATTGTAATACTTACAGTTTGAAGTTACCACTACATTGATTTATTTAACCATAACAAACTCTTTAATTGAGAGTGATTTAAATAATAAAGAAAGAACTACGTTTCTGATAAAGTTATAAAGTAATGAAAGTGATTTTAAAAAACTATGCAATACTACAACATAACATTTGAAAATGAATTACGATATGTATATCATACGATAAATTTCATACAGAAAGATTTTAGGCCATTGAATTAAAAAAAAATCAATTGAGAAAGAAGCACCAAAAGTAATGTAATAAACACATGAAACAATGTGAACTATTTCAAAGGGAAACTAACAAGCAGCTTTAAATTTTGTCTTGATGAACAATTTTGATTAAGATATGTGTATGGAATCACATTATTTTAGAATATTAAAAGACTTATTACGCAAGTTAGACATAATCACACAATAGTCATCATTTTATCAAGCATTTCAAGAGAGAACTGATAATTTTAAAATTAGTAAATAAGCAAACAATTGATTATTTTACGGCTACATTGTAGGAATAAAAATGATAATTGAAACAAGAAACAAAACAATACCAATTAAAAACCAATTGTTCAGAGAACAATTGAAGGTCTTTCAACATCAATTTTCAAAGTTTTTGATATAAAGGTACCTCCGGTTTCCTCACAGTTAAGATTGGTTTCCAATTATAGGTTTGTGTGTAATGATTGAAAAATATATGTTTTCTATATATAATTGTCTAAAATAATGTAGATAATTTGCTATTTCCGCTTCGGAAAATGTCACTTCGGATCTTCTTTGATGGCTTTATTCACACATTCTTAGAAAAAAAAAATTTCTTTATATATTTTTCCCTAAAAAAGGAGATAATCTTCTACTTCCGGTTTATTGATGGGTGCATTTGGTCTCAAATGATAGGTATTTATATGCCTATTTAGAAAACATATGATTTCTATGTACTTTTATGAAAAAAGAGCAAAAATAGCTACTTCTGGTTTACTCAAGGTCACTTCCGGTTGACATTTCTCAAGGTCATATGTAACTCAACCTTTTGCAAAAGACTTAAAGGCTTTATAATGAACCAAGTTGAAGTAATAGTCAATTAACCTTATTTTAAAACATTTCAGGGGCAATAACTCCTATACGATGTCATTAGATTGTTTCACATCATATGTTCAAATGATATATCATATCTTCATGACAATAAAGTGAATAGTTTGCATTATTTCTTTTAAATATAACTTTAAAGTGTCAGAGAAAATGCAAAAACAAGCAAATGTCAAAATTGAGAACATTACCTTGACCTTTGAAATTGACCTCATTTTCTAAGTTAGGACCCAAGAACTTAAAAAAAAAACTCTAGGTTTACACGGTTAACGGTTTATGAGTTACAAAAACATAACGACATATTCATTTGGCAAAATTAGATAACTCCTATACGATTCGACCGGATCGCTTCGATCCAAATCAGTCAAAAATTCCTGAGGATGAAACAAACAATTAAGAAAAAGAATTTTGTCCATATCTTTATTTGTTACAAAGAAGATGCAGACACAAGCTAAACAGTGAATGGGAAGAAACTCTCACAAAGAAAATTGTTCGCCTAAAAGAGGTTAATTCTAAAAGCGCTTAAACTGTACAATAATATAAATAAATTTTGCGAAACAAAAATTGGCCGCAAAATCAAACTTTGGCAGAAGAAAAAAAAAATAATAAAAATTAAAAACCTATTCTCCTCGAAGGTCTTTCTACATCAATTTTCTAAATTATTGATGAGAAGCTACTTCCGGTTTACTAAAAGTTACTATTGTCGTCCAAGCATATGTTTCTTCATACTGATTCAATAAATAAATGTTACCACATATTTTTGCCTGAAATAAGAGAGATAGATGTTAACTTTCGGTTTAAAAAATGTCACATGATAGCTTTATTTACACTGATTCCAAAAATATATGGTTTCTACATACTTGTGCCCGTTATAAGGGAGATACATTGTATTAGGTACTTCCGTTTTAGTGAAGGTCACTTCCGGTCTCAAATGAAAGATTTATGCATATTTAAAAAATTTATAGTTTCTAGGTACTTTTCCAAAAATGGCTACTTCCGGTTTACTTAAGGTCACTTCCTGTTGATATTTTTCAAGGTCATATGTCACCAACAGTTTGCAAAAGACCCTATGGCTTTATCATGCACCAAGTTGGAGAGATAATCAATTAACCTTAAATTTAATCATTTCAGGGACACAAACTCCTATAAGATGTCATTGGATTGTTTCAGACCAAATGTATCATATCTTCATCGCAAACAGGCAAACATTTTGCATTGATTTGTATATATCTTAAAAAGTGACAAAGAAGATCATGAATCAAGGTAAAGTCAAAATTAGAATATGACCTTGACCTTTGACCTTGACCTCAATTTCATTTTAGTGAACCAAGGACCCAAATCAATATTCCTTAGGTCTCTATCATTTACCATTTATGCTATACATTAATGTATTACTTATGTCATATACAGAAGGAGAAATAACTCTCATATGGAGTCTTTGTATCGCTCGGTCAAGATTGAACAAAACATCCTAAGGATATAACGAGCAATTTGATGAAATAAATTTGTTGCTGTCTTTTAAGGTTACGGAGGAGATGCACTCACAAGGAAACAGTGTTGGGAGAGATAAATTCTACAAAGAAAAGTATTCGGTTCAGCAGGGTCATTTTTAAAGGCCAATAACTGTGCAGTATCATATACTAAACATCTAAGCGACATCTTGCGAAACAAAATGTATATGCAAGAAAGAAAGAAAAAAATCAATCAAAAGAAAATCAATAGGTCTTTCCACAGAAAAGTGGAAAGGCCTAATAAACTGAACAAATACGATAGGTCTTTCCACAAACAAGTGAAAAGACCTAATTATTACATTTGACAAAGGTTAACATATTTAGGACTAATAGTCTCAGAACATAATTTTGTACATGATGTATCAACTCTACAATGTCATACAAAAAATATCTGTTATTGAATATATAAAAAAAAAATTAGAAGCACCAAAAGTAATGGAATGTTTCCATCATCTGATTCAATAGAAAATGGATATAATTTAAAATAAAATAATAATTATTTGAAAGGAACACTATTCATTGTTGAAGTGGAAAATATATTTTTGTCCAGTTTTAATTTATAGAGTTAGGTATATATTGAGATTAAATGAAATGAATTAAAATTTATCAAATCATCGCCAATTTTGTGTACCTTTGTGGCAACGTTTTGGACACTTTTTTTTAATATATTTTCTTTTGGTTAAATTAATTACAATTTTTCTTCTCTTATGCCTTTTTACCGTTCTACAATAATGTCCAGTTATCATGCATAATTTTTTTTTTTTTTTTTTATTCTATTCATAACATAATTTTGGTACATATTTGAAAAACTATCTACAAAATAGTATTGGTAACAACCCCTCTAGAAAAATACTCATTCTAAAACCCAAATAAGTCCCATATAATGTTTATAAAACTAAAAAATACACCCAGAACACCAAATAGGTATTAGAGCGCCAGGAGAAGTTGATAATTCAAAAGCAAGACAAGTTTACGACTATATTGATATATACGAATGTGATGGAATAGCATTGTACCGAAACAAATATTTCAGCATATCAATGGCTTTCGGCAGTATCGATCTTTTGCTTAAAATTGATTAGCCTGACTTTAGGAAAACATTGAACAGTATCTTTTAGCTGATCATGTTTATGACCCTATCAAATAAATGCAATACTGCAATTGAAAGTACCAGAACAACATTCACTGAAGATATTTTGCCGCTGTCGCTCTTTGCGTTTAGTATGTGACCGGGTTCAGGGGCTAATGTTATTTTACTCGTTTTTGTACATCTGCTGTAGGAAACTTTGGTTACGTTATTGTTAAAATGTCCTATCACCATAGCTGGCTTTCGTGCGATATTTCGGTTAACATGCATGCCGCGATAGTCAGAGTCAAAATGAGTGGCATCAAACTCAAGGACAAAGGATACTGTCGTGTCATCAGACTTTAAAAGCGTGTTGAAAGGAGTCCACAAGATAATAAAGTACGTGTGTCCATGATGAATTGTTACATATGACGGTAAAAAGTTTCCTGTCATCTGTCCACCAGGATTTCTGTTAAACTTGAATACAGTAAAGAAAAACCAGGGTAGACGAACCAGGATTTCTCCTGCTATTCTTTCAACGGGCTTATTGTAATGCGATCCGATGACTGATTTTAGTACACCAATTACACGATCACAAGTATCTCTTGTGCATACACTATATATGCTCATCATGTGTTTTTCGATGTTCTTGATGGAAGTTAGACATTCAGTGGAAAAAGTCCTTGATGTGTTGCCATATTTAACTGCCTCTGCCAAAACAGCAGTTTCGCATCCTAGGAAGTGCAATCCAAAGAGGTACTTGTAAGTGTTTACGATATTAGTGCCATTGCAGTATTTATCTTGTTGAATAATGTAAGAAAAAAGTTTAGGGGACTCCAGAGAAAACTCCTTCTCTTCAAGGATCCTCCCGATATGTCGTACTTCTGTCATAATACTGTAATAGCATTTCAGAAATCTGTCAGTGTCTGCTAACGACGAGGGATTTTTTAGAAAATGAATAAGGTCTGTATAGCAGCTGTTGATAATTTTTGAGGAGGTAGCAATTTGGTTTTTTAAAACAACCAAATTAATTTTGTTATCTAAATTTTGAAGGAAAACCAGTGTTTCTGTCTGAAGCTGAGATAAAGTGGTTAGTTGTGCTAAAATCTTATTCATAATTTCCTTAGTTTCATCTTCATCTTGTCCCTTAAAAAGTCGTATTATATCTCCAACTACGGGGATGGTCTCCATAAAGCTAAGAATTACATCTCCAGGTGTAATGTCATTATCATTTTTCAGAGAGTCTGAAACTTTATTGGCTCTTTCTATTGTAGTTTCTAAAGCTGTTACTGCTAAACTAACCACAGTTGACACAGATGCCCTTGATAGTTGGAATTCAGATACTACTAATATCAGTAAGATTCCACCTACCCATTGAAATCGAAACATCTTGATGCTTGTCTGAAAAAAAGATAACACTTTTCATTTTTTTACCATCAACACAGTATCAGTGAGAAGCTTAAATATTAGGTTTTGATATTTAATTTTGTCAGATTTTTATCTTTGTACTCTTATATACATATATTATCATTTAAAGGTAGTTGCAAATATATGTTTTTTTTTCTTTAGAGAAATCTTTATACAATAATAGATATTATGATGATAACATGATATAACAAAATCTTTGAAAATGCTAGTTATTGTTAATCAAGTAAATGATTTGTAAATTAATTAAATTTCGATTTTGCTTTTTTTTTTTTTATTACAAACGAAAATCACATTGCTTGTATAATTTTAATTACCAAACCCATGTGCTGTTTAAAAAGATAGTTTTCGTTTTATATGGTTGACTAACAGTTTATAGTATAATGAACTAATGTTTTCTTTTTCGGTAACCATAATTAATTCGTTTTGATAGAAAATAAAGTCATATTTCAATTTCTGTTCAAAGCACTGTGTGCCTTTAAGGAGTGAACTATACAATATCTCATTTTAATTTTTAATATATATACAGTTTGACAGATATTTTACAGATCATAAAATACGATAAATACTTTGAATTCAAATTTAAATTATTGATTTTTACAGTATTGTACTTATTGTAAGACGTAAAACTCCCTTACTACTTTATTCGATATTAACTGGTTTGTACTTCTTAAGGTATAAAACTTAAATTGTTGGATATAGATCAATATTTTGTTTGATTTACATATGTTTTTTTAATTAAATCAGCGAAATGATTCTCTATGGAAATATGTCTGTGTATTTACTAGTGTTTTTTATCTCTGAATTTAACGACGGACCTGTTAGTATTGAAGGTAAGACATCATTATTACATGTTTAACGAGATGAAACACAGTTAAAACTAAACATGCCTAGTACGTTTGGTAATCTGAAATGAATGACAGTCATGTTATTGGAATAACATTAAATTAATCGATGAATTTGTAATTGCATGTGAGTAAGAAAACAAAGACATCGACTGATTTGTCATAAAATGAAGCCTTATAATCGACTACGACATTGAATATACGACAGGAGTCATACATTGTGCAGTGGATAGGGATTGCTTACTCTTCTTAAATATAATACATCAATTGCAATGCTTGTTTTTGCTAACCAACGCACATTGGAAAAATATCAGATACTGCTTATAAATTTTTATTTTAACATTTTTTTAACACCCTTATACTACTCACTTATAAACAGTTTTGTGCAGACGATTATAATAATGAATTCAATCATTTAATTAAGAGTTACACACCCTTGCACATAAACCAATGAGTCAAATTAATTTGAAAAACTTCAATCCTAAACTATTTAAAATAACATTGTGACAACAAAAGATGAAACACAATACGATGCAATACAATAATTTTGTTGTCAATCAAAGACGCCCTCTGACGGCAGTATGATTACAAACAAACTATTACAATGGATATTATTAATTCGTTATGATGCATAGAACACATCAACATGACAATAGAAACAATGAATGTTTTTATTAAATTAATTTAATTCGAACTTCATGATTTTTTATAACCATATCCAGACAATGTGGACAGATATTTTCATATGTTAAAATTAAAAAAAAAACAATATATCAAAAATAAATGGAAATTTTTTGGATACATTACTGTAAAATATACTTACATTTTTAAAGGACCGTTGGTATAATTTCAACTGAGACACCTATAGACATACTTGTTAAAATGAATAATGAATTTCGATTGCCGCATTTTTATATAAAAAAAAATTTCAGTAAGTTTCCATTACAATGTCGTAAATATAACCGTATTCATTAATAGAACGTTCAAATCCCCAACGAACAGGATAATACACTTTTATTTTTGGATACAACGCAACTGGAAAATCTGGAAAGCAATATATAACGATTGGTTAATTATTAATTTAAAAAATAATTTAGGAATTCCCTTTGGCATAGATCCGACTTGTCCTGGTTTGGCTATACTTTTTACCAAAATTTGTTCTTTGTTTGGTTTTAACTTCAAGGTTTATATTTGTTTCATCATTAAAAAAAAGAAACATTGACTTTATTGACGAGATATTTGTGTAGGAAGTGTTGTCTGTTGCCATACACTTGTATATTGTTTATTTTGTTACCTTACCTCATTATAGACTGAAATGTTGTATATTGGACGCGCGTTTTTGTCTACAAAGGACTCGGAAATGATGCTTGATATGAAAAAAAATACGGACTGTTGTAATGAATTAATCAAAGACTTCTTACCCATTTTCATTGATGACTTTCGGCATTCTTTTTGACTGTTGTATTTAAATGTGAAGTATAAGAGTTAGTTTTCCCTTTTATTGTACATTTAAAAAAAAACCCAAAATGTCATATGAACTTCAGCCTTGTATTCATGAAGTTCTACAACTATTATGATTAATTGCTATATTTGTATACCATCATTTATAAAATTCCAACTATACAAGTGTTGAATATATGTAGGACTCGGAGGTGCACTGGGAACGCTGAAGTGCAATGGCTGAAGTGCGATGGTCTACGCCGAAGTGCAATGATCAGTTCGCTGATATTCGATGGTCTATTTGACAGATGATGTACAAGTGTTATGAGAAGTACATGCAGAGTTTATCAATAGTTAGTTAATTGATATAAGTTTACATTCATCATGGTCTATGACTGTCCTTAACAGAAGTTGCATACAAAACGAGAGGTCATCATTTTTGATTTTCTGCATGTTGACATAATTCTGCGTTAAAATATTATATTTACTTTGTTCCTCACATGGGTTCCTCGTTTACCGTAATATTATAATACGGAGAGTCTGTCTGTGGACCCGTTTGTATATGAAGAATGCAATTCTTCATCGTACGTAAAAGGAACATTTTGTAAATTTAAAAAAGAAGACCACAGAGGGTAAACTTTCCCATATCCACCAATCTACGTTTCTCGTGGTAATTAAACTTTAAAACCCCTTATTAACTTATAAACTTGACAAAATTGTACTGGCTTCCAAAGCTGCACAAAACTCCTTACTTACAAATATTGATTTATTTCGTCTTCAAGTCATTGTTCCACTACTAAACTATATATTCTACTTACTAGCACACTTGGTACAATAAAAAAACCCGGTAATAAATTGTTAAAGGCCTTTGCAAAAAGTGGAATTTATTACTTTGAGCGTCAAAAATTCGTTGGAAGCACTTGATAAATTGCATGCTTATATTGGTGATTTCGAATCAGTTCAATGTTTTGATTTTTCTACCCTATATACCACTTTGTCTCATAATCTTATTAAGAAAAAAATCACACACCTGATTAAATTGGCATTTAAAAAGAAAGTCGGAATGCAAATATATATGTTCAAACTCTTTTAGGTCATTTCTTAGTAACAACAAATAAAAGAACTATGTCAACTTGACCTGCTTTGTTCTGCTTTTGAATTTTTACTAGATACCATTTTTGTTCGTTTTATCATCAGGTTGACGAAATTTCCATTGGGACTAACTGTGCACCACTTATTGCGGACCTGTTTCTGTATTGTTATGAGTTACAATTTATGACTAAAATCAGCAAAGACCCATCGAAACAACATCTGATTCAAAAATCTAATAACTCTTTTAGATATTAAAATGATATATTGGCTTCAGTATATACACTTAAAAGATGTATCCTGTTGAACTGACTTTAAATAACACAAATACTTACAATGAACGCTGGTATTTCCTGTATCTTGATATCTATATCTTTAACGGAAAGCTTAATTCCAAAAATTGTGATAAAAGAAGTGATTTTCATCTATTGTTAATTATCCATTATTAGATGGTGACGTTCCCTTGTCGCCATCTTATATTGTTTATATATCTCAACTTGTTCGATTCGCTCGTGTATGTAGCATAGTATTTGATTTCAACGAAAGAAATCTCTGTGTTACTGGAAAATTATTACACCCGCTGGGTTTTCGATATCACAAACTAGTCAAAACATTTACTAAATTTTATCATCGGTACAAGGACATCATTCGTAAATAAAAATCAACATGTAGACATCTTATACGTTCAGGTATTTCACATCCAATATTTTTTGGTAATATTCTTTACAAAGAACAAAAATGTCGGTAATCACCTAAAAAGCTTACCAAACCTTTAAACAGACTTATTCGGATAGGATATAAACACGATACTGTTGTCAAGTCATTAAGGATTGCATATTTTGGTAGTAATATTTGATTGCATCGGAAATAAACACATTAATTCTAAACCAGTTGTTGGCAAGATACGGGTTATGTTCTTCTCATATACTTTATGATGGTATGATACTAAACACCTAACGGGAGGGATTGTACTTAATTTCCATATAATGAAGACATAATCTTTCAATCAGTTTTATTGAGGTCTGGAGATGGCATAGCAGTAACTACTAGTAGTCCTTTGTTCATTTATGTATCATTGTCATTTTGCTTAGTTTCTTTTGTTACCTATTCTGACATCGGACTCGGACTTCTTTTAAACTGGGTTTAACTTTTCGTATTGCTATGTGTTTCTTTATTCTACATTTGCTAGAGGTAAAGCGGGAGGGTTGAGATCTCACACAACATTTTTAAACTCGCCGCATTTTTGCACCTATCCCAAGTCAAGAGCCTCTGGGCTTTGTTAGTCTTGTATGTTTTTTTTTAATTTTAGTTCATTTATATGTTTTGGAGTTTATTGTGACATCCATGTTTACTGAACTAGTACTCAATTTTATTTAGGGGCCAGCTGAGGACCACCTCAAGGTGCGGGATTTTCTCGCTGCGTTGAAGACCCATTGGTGACCTCCGGCTGTTGTTTGCTGTTTGGTCGGGTTGTTGTCTCTCTGACATATTCCCCATTTCCATTCTCAATTGTATTCTACATCGACACGAAAAGCATTAACATTGTAGTTTATGTAGACCATCGCACTTCAGCGTAGCTATCAACAAGATATCGTCATAATACAATGATACTGAAATGCGTGATCAAAAACGCACTTCAGCGTCAAACCATCGCACCTCAGCGTGACCATCGCGGTTTTATTACCATCGTTGTTCAGAGTCCTAAACATGTAACAAACATACTGTTTGTTAAAAGGCCTATGCGCAGATCATGCCTTGAACATTTTTGTTCAGATTTCCACCAAGTGCTAGTGCAAAATGTTTGACATGAACTTTCAACTTCATTTGCATAAAAGTTATAAAAAAATAACGAACTCCTAGGTAAATGAAATAAAGGGCAAACTTCATGATTCCTGACAAAACTAAACGCTTGGCTATTTCAACGAACAGAACGGATCAACAACAACTGTGATATTCCGGACTTGTTACAGGCATTTGTTGAAAAAAATAATGGGTTAAACATGTTAAATATATGTAAAGCATAATCAGTATCTTCTAAAATCGTGATAGAAAATAAATGCTTATGGATTTAAAACCTAGGCTTACTTATCGGAAGGCAACCTTAAAGACTGCACCAGTTTTCCGTAATGTCTTCAAATGTTTTAAACACTCATCCATTTTGTTTTAGCTATTACTGATACTAAAGGAAATAGGCAAGGTCGATAAAAGTTATGACGCATTTACTTCCTTACTTTTTTATTTATCTTTTTTTTTAAATTATTTTGAATTCATGTAACCTGCTATGTTACAATGAACGATGCAGTATTAACTTGATTTATTTCTAATAATTAAAAATGAGTTTTTCTACCGTTGTTTGCTTCAAATAAGACTAAAAGCTAAATTCTTATAATTATCACTTATGATGTACTATAAGTACATCAATCATACACTTTTAAAAAGATGATGCAATAGAATATATTTAAAACTGTCTGACAAAAGCATACACGTGGGCTAAAAACCCAAAAAGCGTCAAAATAGAAGTAGGCGCTTTTTTTTTGTGTTTGTCATAGTTCCTTACCATATTTAGTATAATTTCAAAATTTATATTTTCTAGAATAAATCAAAGACTTATATAGTTTGGGTGGATATCCTTAGGTCCGGTATATTTTTACTATATATCCTTATTTGGTTGAAAGATTCCATCTAACCATTTCTGAATACAGTTTGCATTATATGCATTAGGTCCGATTAGAAAGTTATACGCATTCACTATCAATTCTATACCTATTAAGATATTAACTTTAGTTATGTAATGAAGTAGAGACTGAATTGTTTAATTTATACGGGTTGTTTAATCATTGGGTTTAGAGAAAAAAAAAACAAAAATCGCGAAAATACTGAACTCAAATGAAAATTCAAAAAGGAAAGTCCCTAATCAAATGGCAAAATCAAAAGCTCAAACACATCAAACAATTGGATAACAACTGTCATATTCTCATATTCCTGACTTGATACAGGCATTTTTTTATGTAGAAAATGGTGGATTAAACCTGGTTTTATTGCTAGCTAAACCTCTCACTTGTATGCCAGTCGCATCAAATCCCATTATATTGACAACGATGTGTGAACAAAACAAACAGACATAGTAGGTGAAAATGTAAAAAATAGGGGTACAACAGTCAACATTGTGTTATAATCTTAATCACTATAAAAACAAACAAATATGTAACAAAGAAGCACAAAAAGGCATATAGACAAAGCACGTTAGCAAAAATGTAAGACAAGAATACACAAATTTACCATGATAGCACAATAACGCAATGACGAGGAGATATAGTTAACCAAACACAACTTATG